AATCGACGCCACGACGGAGTGATCGAGCGGGTATGTGGTGCGCGGAGGCAGATCAGAGTAGGGGCGCTGCGATCATCTCTGCACTGAGTAAGTCGGTGCAGCGTTCGTCACGGTTGCTACGGCCGTGGACGAGCAACGTGCGGCCAAGTCGAGTGTCTCGCAAGGGGCTCCGAGGCGGAGGCTCTACCCGCAAGAGGAGGAGTGCGGACACCGTGTGAGCGAGTGGCCAGGACATGGAATATCAGACGCCTGCCAGTGTGATAGCGTGATAGTGGTGCTGATGGGTAGGGACATCAGCGGAGGACAAGGACGATTCCAAGAACAATGCATTCCGGAACCAACGAACTTGGCATCGTGCAGCGAGGTCGAAGCGCGAAATGGAGTGGGGAGAGCGTAATCGAATCCTCGCAGTGGTCGCAGGAGAAGATGCACCAGACGCTCACCCGGGCGACGAGGTCAGGGCTGCACTTGGCACGACGAAGTGCTCGGTGCGTAGCTGGAAAAGCAAGCAGGCTTGCTGGCGGGAGCCTGTTTTTCGACTTCTTTCGTTGTCTGCGAAAGCCTGATCATAGGCACAGGATTGACAGGGGGCAGCATTTTCACTTGGTATGCACGTACAATGAGTTGTTGCGACCATAGCTATTGGCATCGCAGCTCACATCGTAGAGAAATGGCTGAACTTCAAAAGCTCTTGTGGCCGGACGAATGCATACATACAACGGAATGGGACCGTGAAAACTCAGCAATCGAGTGCTCGCACTCAGAAGATCACAGAACTAGAAACAAAACACTTCCAGGAAACAGAATATAGAGTCTGACCACCTGTGGGCCAGCCTGAGAAATGGCGTGCGAGAGTGTGAGCGATTGACGAATGTCAAGTATAGTATCGTGATCCTGGCCCCGTGTTCATGCCTAAGAGACTTCAAAAGACTTATTGTTCAATGTGTCGATGTTAGATGACAGATCATGTACATATGTCATTGATGTTCTAACTTGAGGTGGGAGCGCCAGATAAGGCAGGCTGCAGTAAAGTGTTGTCAAGTTGAAGGAGTGCATCTCGTGGAACTTCTGGTCGCAAAGGGAACACAAATATCGAGTGTAAATATGATCCAGATCAGGAGGTAAAGCACCCAGATCGTAGTGCAGATGCTCCGTGATGATGTGCATTTAGATATTTGACCGAAGTCAACAGGCCCTTGTGGCAGGACGAGTGTATTTATATGAAGGAATGAGACGGTAATCAAGCGCTCACGCTCGGATGATTGAATAACTAAAATCAACTCACTTTCAGTATATTCGTGGGCCAGAGTACGAAACGTGTCATCATACCAGAAAGTACTGAGAAATTGACAAATATTTTTTATACTATTGTGGTATTGTGACATTCGCACTTGACGGAGAGATGTCATGTGAGTGCCCAAGACAGTATGTATCTATGTGTCGCAGGAGGCTGTCGTGTCGGGCGAACCGCTCATGGCAAATAGGACATTGTAGTGCAAGATTCCTGAGGTGTACTGCGCTAATGTGCTTTGCCATGCTGGTACGCATTAATAC